TCTCTCTGTCTCTCTCTCTCTCTCTCTCATAAATGAGCAGTTGATGAATTACACTTGTCTGAGAATAGAATATTGAAGTGGAGATCGCTAAACTGCAAGCTAACCAGTGTTTTCAGAAAGCAAGCGCGTTTATTCACAGTGGAGGGAGAGCGCGTGTGCACATGGTTGCCAGGTTGACAAAGATAAGTAGCACACTTAGCAGATATTTCCGTATTGCGCAAGTGTGAAGCTCTGTTTTGGGGATTACATTGCTTTATATCAGGCAACCCCGTTGTGTTCCTCTGCGGCCAGATTAAACCTTGTTGTAGCCTATATATGCTCTGTTCGTTCTTTTTTAGAAACCTCGCACTTTTTTACTCAATTTTAAACGTTGTAAAATGTTAAACAAATTAAGTGCGGTCCACTGCTGCACACGTGTCACAATATCGATAAAGGGCCAGCTGTATCGATACTCGTATCATCAAATCTCTGTGAAGATACACCGTCATATCGATATTTTGAACACAGCACTAGTGTATATGACGTTCTTCTTTCAGAGAATTTTCATATTTGGGTGAACTAACCCTTTAAATGTGGCTCTTTTGACTTTGACCAGTATTATATTATCTTAGCAACCGCTTAGCAACACCCTAGTGAAAACCCTGAGCTTTCTAGCATTCAAAAATCTAGTATTGTTCTTCAGTTTTGTGCATGAATAATGGTAATTTGGTGTACATAAGGAATTTAGTTTTCTCCTCCGTGTTTGCAGTCAGGACTATCAGCATGGCATATTCCAGTCTATTGGCTTTAAAGAGTTTCACGAGTACCTGACAGCAAGTGAGAACATCAGTCAGGAAGAACGTGATAAACTGAAGGTTAAAGGTAAGCATTCATTCACCTAATTTTGCTTGAGCTTGAATGTCTTCAGTCTTTTGTTGTTAAACTATAACCAGCTGTCAGTTCAGGCCTTGAGAATGAACACAGAGTGAGAATGTTGATGTTCTTGAAATTTTTCTGCATGAGAACAGTTATGAAACCTATGCTGACTTCACACAAAAGAGAGCAAACACCAACTCAGACCCTCATTCTGAAAGCATTTTTATGCTCTTCCAGGAAGATTTTTTTTATAGTTCTTAAATGACTACACAAATGACACATTTGAAACAAAAAACAGTTCCAGCAGGGATCAAAATTGTCATTACATTATCATTGTAATGCAAAGATATCACTACCACCATCAGACACGTTTATTGTAGGGCTGTCGCGATTCGTCGATTCTATTTGACTATTATTATATAAAAAAATCCTCGACTAACCGGCAAAATACTGGAAGTAGCGCATTTCACGGACGAGAATCCATAAAACACATGATTAGACTGTTTTCCAAGGCTGCATGATATATTAACCCCGTTAAAAAATAATTACGCATAAATGTAAATTCACAAACGCTACATTTTAATTAAATAATTATATGCAATGCCGTTATAGCTGTGTAGGTTACGTACGTGCATCTCACAGCAGCTCCGTTCAAAGTAAATGCTGTTCCACAGGAACTGATATCATTTGATATCATGTGCGGAGCCGCTCAAACTCCATCTGTGCATGTTGTTGTGAGTTTGGGTTTATTATAACGTTCATCTGGGAATGCAACGTGCGCCATTTCATAAGATTTGTAAGGTAAATCATTGATAAATCCACGCAAACACAGGAAGAATACATCATTATCTCGCGGTTTCAAAATAAAAGCTCAAACCCTCACTCCGAGTTTACACGTTTTGATGTCCACATATTCATTAAATTACAGTGGCTATAGCATTTCTGTCGTAAAGAAATGGCCAAATATTAAAGATTAAGTGGACATTTTAATTAAATGATGCTTGGTCAATATTAAACAAGTATTAGATCGCACAGTAATGTGTAAAAACAATCGGCAGGCTGTTGGCGCCCCCTACAGGCTTTTGTTTTAATGCGTACTGTACATTAGCTCTATTCACTGATCTATAATAAAGATTATATTATTATTTTTTTATTATAAATAGATCAGTGACTCGATTACATTATAATACAGTATTTTAACAGTTTTGATTTCTTTTTTGAAACCCGTATGATTTCTTGCTTTTGATACTTTATTTGAACTAATTATTATTGCCTCTTTGATTATTATATATATTATTGATTAAAATATGTATTTTAAGTAAATTTAAAGGCTATTGTTCACTTAGCCTACATCTATTTTTATTACGACAAAAACTAATTATTAAAGGGGTCATATGATGCGATTTCATTTTTTCCTTTCTCATAAAGAAGATCTGTAAAGTTGCAAAGACTAAAGTCTCAAATCCAAAGAGATATTCTTTATAAAAGTTAAGAGTCAGCCACGCCTACCTAAAACGGCTCGTTCGAACACGCCCCCACATATCTACATCACTGTGGGAAGATTTGCATAACGTCGCCCAAATGTTCACGCAAAGAAAGAAGGCGTAACTTTTATTCTCGCTGTAGTATTGTTGCCGCTGCCGCCATGTCCTGAAGATGCTGTGTGTTTCGTTGTGAAAGCAAAACTACTTTGTTTGGTCTTCCAAAAAAGGACGATATCCGCTTCGTCATGCCTTGAGCTGATCCGTGCTGGT